AAATGTATTTCGGTTGCTCTTATCGCTTCGATGTGATATCGTTTTCAATGAGACGTAAATGGCGACATATGACAATACCATTCTGTTTGATAATGCAGAACCACAACTGAAGAATATTCGGGAGTTGTAAACATAGTGATGCAAATGGCTCATTTGTTATCTGAGGATGAAATTACTCTGATCAATATAAGTTATACGATATCAATGTTTTTTATTTCCATCCCTCTTGTGAATTACAGTCTATGAACGTACATCGAAGAGAAAAGTAGTTTTTCGGTGAGTGTCGTGATCTATACTTGTTCTACCATGAAAGTTAATCCGATCAACGTTATCCGACTTCAGATGGCAACATTTGAAGTTCTCAATCTTGCTGAAACCCCCGTGAACAACGAGAAACGTGAATTAGCAGACACGTTCGAAAGGATATTGATTCAATCAATGGAGGAATATAATGGAGTTGAAATGATCGAAGAAACATCCCTGGATTTTCAAGAGCCTTATCAGATATCGAAATGATAGCGGTCGAGGAGAAAAGAATTTCAACCACATACAGAAGAATCACCTGACAGTTGTTCGGAGGATGAGGAACTTGTAGATTTCGAATATAAAAAGAATGCTGTTGACTTCTGGAGAAGTGGAAAAAAGAAGAAGAATCTCTCTATAGAAACTGTTTCCCATCGATTCAGGAAGGTGAAATCGCGTAGACAGTTACGACGCTGGGCGAATCAAATCAATAAAGGAGGGACATACATGGAGAAGTTGAAACGCATTTCGGAGTACACATTAAAGAATATAAAGAATGCTATAGATGGAGGTTTGATCGTCCACGATACTGACCTCCGAAGGTGGGCCCTGCAAGCCCGGAAGGAAATCGGCTTCGAAGACGTTCGTTTTACAGCTTCGTCCAGGTGGTTGCATTATTTCAAACGAGCACACCGCATAACATCCCGGAAGATTAACAAATTCATCACCAGAAAAACATTAGAGACTCTGGAAGAGTTACAAAAAGAAGCGGACGAATTCCTCCTGAAAGTTCGGTCTTATTGGGATACATATGACCCAGAAAACATTTATAATACTGATTAAAGTGGTTTCCAATTGGAAATTCATTCAGGGCAAATGTTAGCTGAAGAAGGCACTAAACAAGTAGCGTGCTTCGTACAATCGATAACTTCAACGACACATAGTTATACAGTTCAACCTTTGATTTCTGCTGATGGAAAATTACTTTCACCTCTCTTCCTGGTTTTAAATGGACCTTCTGGGATTTTCGGTCCAAAGNAGAAGCGGACGAATTCCTCCTGAAAGTTCGGTCTTATTGGGATACATATGACCCAGAAAACATTTATAATACTGATTAAAGTGGTTTCCAATTGGAAATTCATTCAGGGCAAATGTTAGCTGAAGAAGGCACTAAACAAGTAGCGTGCTTCGTACAATCGATAACTTCAACGACACATAGTTATACAGTACAACCTCTGATTTCTGCTGATGGAAAATTACTTTCACCTCTCTTCCTGGTTTTGAATGAACCTTCTGGAACTTTCGGTCCAATAGTGGAGCAAAATCTCTTCAAACCTGCGAATGTGTTCATCACCGCTTCAAAATCGGGAAAACTCACTTCACGTATGACAATATTTAAGACCTAACAAACATGATATGTTCTATACAATAATTAGAATTATCATCTAGTACTTCATTTTTCAGAGCATTTTAAAACCTGGTTGAAGGATTTCTTTTTCCCAAACGTGGGTCCTAAAAGTCTACTGTTAATCGATTCCTGGAGCGGACACTGTCCTCAAGTCGTGAAAGGAATTACTCCTCCGAATAAAGAATTATTAACTATGTTGATACCAAAGGGGACCACTGGAAAAATTCAACCCCTTGACGTATATGGTTTTAGGATATGGAAGAATTATGTTTATCATTTTTCGGATAGTCTCGTCCTAATGGACTATGATATTAATTTACATTTGCGGAACAATATCATAAAGTTACAGTCTTTAGTCCATAATCAATTATCATCACCAAGGTATCAAAATTTATTTCGTTATGCTTAGTTTCAGAGTTGTTACATTTCTAAAAAAACCAGATGAATTCGAAAATTCTGTCGATTTTACATTCGGGCAATCATCTCATCTGCACTGTGATATTGAAGGCTGTTCCAATATTGTAGTAGTCAGATGCTCATGGTGCAAAAAATCACATTGTTTGCTGCATTTTTTTGAAGAATATCATTTTTGTACGCATTGCGTCCCCGAATACTATCTATACTGTAGATTGATCCCAACAGAAAGTATGCTGATCAGTGTTACCAGATCGCGAGGTCATCCCATTTAAAATTGTACAGGTTTTGGCTATAAATCGCCAAAATCTGGCAACCCTGATGCTGATTGAGAACATAATACTAGAAGGAATAAATGGTCTGAGCTTCTATAATAATATCAATGTATATTCTGAATTCCATCATTTGGGTATTACTACCATCATTGTTTCCTTTCCATATCGGATCTTCATTCAGTCCTTACCAGTTCGGACTACGGTACTGTGATACAAGTAGACGGATAATTAAAAGATTATAATTCATATATAACAGGCAATGGACATTTTCATGGGTTCAAATTTCGACATTCTTTATTATTCTTTACTCTTTCAAATGAATTCTGTTCACTAATATAATTAAAAGTAACTCCCAGAAAGGTTATTTAGCCTCCATGTGTTACTT